TGGGATGTCTCACGAAATACCCCTGAACTTTAACCTTTTCTTAGCTAACCCCTACCAATGATATGCAAATAATGAAAAAAAATCCTTTCAAAGCAAACATCCCAAATTTTGACATTTTTCTTTTACAGCCAACCTACCCCCTCCCTTCCCCAGGGAGAAGGGGGGAGGGATCCAGAGAGGTAAGTTCAAAGTTCAGAGTGGTGTCTCTCCAAAGTTGTCGATGTGAAATAAAAAAAGTTCAGGGGGGGTATGTCAAAAAAAACCTCAAGTTCGGGGAGTATGTAAAATTAACCTTGGAATAAAATTAGTTAGTGGGGTTATTTGCAAAACCCCAAAGTTCAGGCGGGTTTTCTGAAATTAACTCATATTTATAGAATTGATTACGGTGAGCTATAAGCCTAGCAATGAGGCGGCAGGGATTACAATAAGATGAAGAGTAATATGAAGGTTAAGCGATCAGCAACATGACCAAAATATATGTTATAATAAGAAATAATCCAGAATTACCCGTCAATGTCAGTGTGTGGGGGCTTATCACACTGCTATAGATTTTAGAGATAATACAGAGTTTGAAAAACTAGAGGCTTAGTGCACTGCATTAGGAAAAAAAACTGACTTGTGGCATTTACTGACAACACTATTTGGCTTACAGATTGACATTGGGCCATTTACTTTGTTTTTCATTTTAAATAAGAAACCAAGCTACCTTCATGCATAAGTTTGCTATTTAAACGAGAGGAAGGAGGAAAGCTTACCTTCATCCAATGATTGAGAAGGAAACATATCCTTGTTTCTTATTGATAGTTATCATTTAGATTTTATATCATTGGGAAATATTATTCGTAATGGACGGAGACGTGTAGATAGTCTTTTATGATGATCAATTAGAGTTATCACTATGAATGTGTTTTTCTTTGGTATTTGGCATATAACATGTTTCAAAATATGGAAATCAATTCCCCATAACAAACTTGTCATCTTCTGATGTTCACCTCTTCAGTAGACTCATTCCTGCAGACGTAGACTCATCTTTGAAGATGGAGATCTGTTCCTTGAACATGAGCATAATTATCGTAGTCAAGGTTATAGAAAGCGCTAGGCGGCCTAGGTGCTAGACTCGACACCTATAGCCTAAGTGCCTTGGTGGGAGCCTAGGCAAGGCCTAGACGGTTTTCCTATTTTTTATCTTTTAATTACAATAATTGATAATAGATGACAATGTTATCTTAAGCACAGGCGCCAAACTGGAGTCTAAGTGGGTTTCTTTCTTCATATAAGTGGTGGCGGAGGAGGTTTTGCTGAAGGTCGAAGGTGGTAAAGGCAATGTTCATAGTTGAAGGCTGGAGGAGTTTAGATGAGGTTGAAGGACGTGAAGGTTGCAACAGAGGAAATTACGATCAAGGATTGAAGGATGCGGTCCACGTATGCAACCCACGCTCTCCTAGGCACTCCCAAAATCTAAGTGGGTAGCCTAGGAACCACTTAGGCCTAGGCGCTAGGACGTGCCTAGGTACTGCCAGGCCTAGGCGGATGCCCATATGGGCTAAGCGGAGGCTTTTTAAAACATTGATTGTAGTTATCCCCTAAAAAGGCTCATCAGGTTCTGCAGCAAGCCACTCTAAAATCGATAGCTTACTAGTAGGCTAATTTGGCGCCAAGTAGAGGATTTAAACAGGTCAACAACTGTCAGCTCGTTAATTTTAATCATTAACTTCCAAGGAAACTTCTGAACCTTTCGCGATCCAAAGCTCAACAACATATGAAGATAAAAGAGTAGACTCTAATAATGTTAATTTTCACTTCCTAAATGAAGGGTTGATATTGAAGCAGTCTCGACCATTTATTAAAATTATTTAATAATTGCCAAGAAAACATACAATGCGATAGTATCGAATGTGAACTTTAACTTAAACTTAACAAAATTATCAACTTTCTGATTTTTCTTGGTCAATTTCTCTCTCTCTCCCTCTCTCTCCACTTGAGTATTGAAGGCCGTAGATTTTTCTTCAAAAAAACTAAAATCATCAATAAGATGAAAGCAATCTGCATTTCGCTCCATAACTACAGAACCATGAATAATCATCACCATCACCCAAAAAAGCATGGATACAAACCATGCTGACACGAGCATGAATTGTTCCAATACAGAGAGATACGAAATAAATCTGGTATCTTGTCCAATACTTTGTGGCATGAGTCTTAGTTGTCACTTTTTTGGTGATAGAAGTGTCATGCAAAACAATCATCAGCGCTTACACCTCTTCCATCAAAAAATTGGTATAAGCCCTGAAGCAAAATTCCATCGAGAAGACACAATGGGAAATTTGGAGGATTTTTGCAAATTGCAACTAACTGCCAGCTCAGCATCAAGCTTTGAGTCCTGTTATCTTTTGGGTAAGCAAGTTATTGAGAAGTAGCCTAGTTACAGGAAAAATCCCACCTCTCCCACCTCGACGTGCACTCCAAGTTCTAATCTAGGGTTAATTATAAAGTTATAAAGAAGCGCACAAGTGCAAATTAATAGGTATCCTCTTGTATCATTAGGTATCTAGCCTGGCTTGAGTAAACTAGCGTCTAGACTAATTAGTTCAAGAGGACTATGCAAAGTCAATGCGTCCACATAATCAGTCGGTCACAAGTTTACAAGTAACATAGGATCAGTGGATAATGTGTAATCTGCAAAAGAGACTTGTAAATCGCATACTCAAAAAGACAGAGGTAGAACTTTGCATATATGCGTTAGTTCATAATTGATCTAGTTAATTCCACAAGAAAAAGGTAGTGGGGAGTTGTTGGATTGTAAGTTACAGGTTTGAGCTGTAAAGGCTATTCCAGAGTTTCACTCATGGTGTTTTCAATTAATTAATTAGCCATTATCAGTTGATAGCTATTAAAGTCAAAAACAGGGTTCACATATGTGAGAAATCGTCGTGTGGAAGAGGATCCCTTTAGACGAAGCATACTATTCAGTGGAATACACTATCCTTGACCCTATATAAAAAATAGGAATTTGATCAACTGAAGGTTCACTTCGACTACTCTACAGAAGCCAAAAGCCCTATTTGAGCAGCCGGTGGAGGTAATTGGCTCCTATAGGAGGAGTTTATGTTTACTTAAAAAATAATTAAATAAATAATAGGGCTTTTCTCAGTGCACCTATGTTGGATTCCAATGTGGATGGGGCTTGGAGATGGCAATGAAGAAATTTTAATCTTGTTGGTTAGAAAGTCAGATTCAGAATGTTTTAGGGAAATGGCATAGCAACAGTCAGGTGGTATATTGCTAAACCAATGCTAATAACATGAGAATTTGGCTTAAAGGTAATCATTATCAAGGCCTTGCTATGCAATTCAATAAGCCATCAGGTATGGGACAAGGAGCACAACACTAGGGAAGGTTCCAAGACTGGTGTTGGAGTAGAAACAACAGGAACAACAATTTGTTCAAAGAGCACCTTGCTTGAAGTCTTTATTCACATATATATATATAGCAACTGGAAATGTTTATCACTGAAAACTTCTTACAACTGTAGATAGGCTATCAAAGCATTTAGCGGGAATGTGAAATATCCAATCATGCAAAATGTATTAATTGATCAAATGACACATTTACCATAGTGCAATTTGATGTTACATGATTTATCTGTTACCTAGACCATATAAACTTTAGGAAAAATTAATCTTCCAAATATAATTTATTGGAAAATTATAAAAAGGCAATAGAACATAAAAGTACCTGAGGGCAATAGCTTTCATGTGGTGTTTTTTCAAAGAGAAATTCACCGCACAGATGCCTGGAGTGAGGAAAATCTCGGCAAGCAACCTACATTTATAACAATTAACTACTCTATAAGTAAATACTCAGAATATGCAAGAGAAATACATTCTTTTAACAAAGAGCATTGACAAAATTTCTGCAACATCCCACAGTGATAGCAATACACTATACTAGCATTTTCTATTTCTTCAACAAACTGTTTCATAAAAATTACAGAAAAAGATATAAAAAAATGTCACTTACGTGTGAACCTACTTCTATCAAACTGGCACTCAGACCTCAATGGAATATATCTCGTTTGCAAATTGAACCTTTTATTCAAGAAAAAAAATCTTTCGGAGGGGGAAAAACTTTTTCATTTTTAAATATCTTAAACACTTCAAAGTTTTTAAATAAGTTTTCCAAGTCTACGAGCAAGCCCTCAGGAGTTTATCAAAACATCATTGAGAACTTATAAAGATTTTGCTGGAAGGCAATGTGATACGAGCCAGGGCAAGGCTCTGATCCGAAAGTAGAAGGCTCTCGAATGTCATGCCTTCAACGCCACTATGTATCCGATTGGAAAGTACGAGGTTCTTGATATCATGAACTTTGGCGGGTATCCAAATCTGATTGGGGTCTAAAAGGAGGAGCGGATAGATTTTTAAGTATTGGATAACTTTCCAGAGTCATATTCGAATATGGTGTAGAGCTAATAAAACCTCGAACAACATTGTAACGCCTTGAAGGAGTTTCACTAGAGAGGAATCGTCGAGGGCTTGGCAAGATGATATCGTAACTCATCAGAGGCTGATCGGATAAGAACCGACATTGATGATATTTGATATGATTGTGATAACTCATTGGAGATCTATTGTAAGTGCGAAGAAGGACACGTCGATGAGGCACAAACAGTAACAAGTTACGGTTCACTTGGGCTAACAGTAATAAATTGGAGGGTTAGGATAAAAGGAGGGCTTCACACCCTGCATGTCAAAACTTTAATGCTTCACATGCTAACAAAGATTTCACTTCTCAAGAAATTTTTATTTAATTAACCATGGACTACTACTCGTGGAGGATTACAACTTTATTCACAGAGAGAAAATTAAATCTAGAATCTAAATTAAATAATAATCAAATTCTAACAAAAAGGAAATAAAATAAAATCCCTAACAAAATAAATTTTCAAAGACCCTAATTGACCCTAAAATCAAATCCTAAGAAAATCTTATTTAAAAATAAAGATTACATCATATAATACTAAACTAAAATAAAAGAGAATCTTGAAAATCTTAAATCCTTTTGATCAACGACCCACAATCGTCCTGCATCACAATGTAATGGATGTTCAAACATCTTCTTCTTTGGATCATTCGGTAGTTACTAAATTTTCTTACAAATCAAATTCCAAGGTAATGTTTGAGCTCAATAAAAGAAGAATTGTAAATGTTAGAGAAAGAGTGGCATCTCATAGAGAAGATGGAGGGAGTAAGTTGTTCACTAAATTATGGTTACCTATGAAAGCAAATTGCTCTAAAACTCAAATATTCAGATATTTCTAAGTATTATGGTATTGGATGTCCTGTGACTTACTTCAGGTTTGCCCAATGCAGAGGTTTCATCTTTCATGATCAATTAATGCCTACTGATTAGATTGTCCCCATATGGATAGGAGCACAAATTTGGTTTCGAGATCAATTATTCAAAGTTGACAAATAACCTTAACCAAAGAATTTAAGGACCAAGATGAGTTCAAACATGGAGATTCTACCTTATGAATGGACTCAAGAGACTAATCAAGAAGGAAGTGACACCAGAAAACAGCGAAATGGTAATGCAACTACTCCCCACATAAGAACATTTGAAGCCCCAAATGGATGAGAAAGTCATTGCCTCAACTATCAAGAATTATGCAGTTCTTATATAAATTTTTAACTTCGAGGGTACATTATACTTGAGTCTTGCTAGCTTGTAGGTAAAGATAGCTGCAATCGTATTTGCGTAATTCCATGGTCTCCCCTCAAACTGTCGAACACTTCCTGCGAAACGATTCCTAATATATTTGTGAACCGATTCTCTTTGATACACAAATTGGTTCTCCAAAATTATTGTACCGCTTACAAGTATGTGGGAAACAAAGTTCGTTTAAGTGCACACGTGCAAAACGCAATGCGATGTGCACAATCGAGTACAGGGAGGCACACAATAGAATATATGAGTCAATGACTTCACTCTAACTAAATCCATATGTTAATAAAATATGTAATGAAACCATCATCCCAGCACGAACTATGTGACAAGAAAAAAGAACTCCAAAAAATTAGGTAAAAAAACTCATGGGACATGCAAAGGCCTGTCTCAGACAAAACAGAGAACTTCATAAGAAAGAAGAATTTAAGTATTGTGTATGAAAAAATATTGAAATACATAATTAGCTTTTTTAGTTTCTTGTTTTCTACTATACACTTTAGAAAATGCTAAGCGCACCAAAAAAAATTCAACTACCACGTAACGAGCTTGCTTACCGAAGTTGTGCATCCGAATTTGTACCACGACCCGCTACACAATAAGTATTGTGTAACTATGGCTACAATAGAAAAATAGTATAAGGAACCACATGTTTTCAACCACAAATGTGTAGGAAAAGGAGCATCTCTCTTTTCCCACCTAGTTGTGAAGCGCATGCTTCATGAAGTTGTGAAATTTACTTTCATGATTATAGTCTAATTAACAAGTTTAACATGGAATAAGAAATAAGAGGTTCCATAAACTTGGCAGTATAAAGGAGGTTTTGGATTAAAATCCCACTTATATTAGGTTACTACCTATTCATGCATAGGTTGAAAAAGACAAGTCTTCATCAGATATAGAGAAAAACAATTAAATCTTCAAAGATAACTAGCTATTGGTTTTAAGGGACTGTTTGGAACATTTTTCTTCTCTAAACAAGGAGTACTGTTGTCTTCATAAACCTGCATGGTTAGAAGATCCAACTTTACATATTGATTTCTTTTCTGCCCTACTATCGCTTTCTTCTTCTTCACAGACAATTTTTCATTCTTTTTTTATGTCTCTACGACGTTGTTTCTTTATATTTCTCATTCCCTTTTCCTTTCTTCGTCCTACCCTCTTCTCCAATTCCTGTCCTATAATTTTATCTGTTTCTTTTTCTCCTTTTTCCCCTACCCTTCAACATTGCTTCTTAAGAAATAATTGAGAAGCCACAGGTACAGAATAGTGGCTTCTTGGTCACTATTCCAAAGAGCATATCCACAACCTGAAAAAAGAGTGTCTTAAACTGAACGTAAATAATTAATTTACTATATATAATGAATAACAAGCAATTTAGTCGATTCATCCATCTGACTTCTGAATCATAATTATGCTCAAAATCATATGAAATGTCTGGTTGCACTTGAATGAGGAGTGAGCCTCACTATGCGCATTACGCTTTGGTGTGTTAGACCTTCACTCTCCTATTTTTTATTTCGTCCTTGACAATACTGATCGTGTCAGTGACTAGTAGTTAAGCCGTATTAGATAGGAGTTCACAAAATAAGTGTTTAACCACTAGACATGACATCACAGAATAAATGCTCAATCACTGGTAATCGTTAAACACCAGAAACCGTGACAACTCAGGCTTAAAGGGAACCGACGTAAGATGGATAACAGCATACTATTAGACATGTAGTAACTAATAACCAAGGTCAACAAGATATATGATTAACAGAATGTAACCTTTAGTAATTACTTGATCATCCGGCACAGGCAAAAAAACTCTCTTGCATCCAGGAAAAATACTATTTAAATTTCATGTCCCAGGATACATAATAACAATCATTTTCAACTCCTACTCATCTTCAACTCCATTTTTCGAGTCAGCAACTGATAAATTGAGCTAAAAGTTGAATTAAAGTTTCTTTATGACCAAAAGTTATTAAATCAAGTTTATACGTAATTTATGAATCATTGGTAAAGAGAGACTCAGCAACAAGACTCCTAATTTTTAGTAATACAGATGGAATAATGAACGCTTTGAGCACATAATGATAATCACGACGCAAAATGTGCCAATATGACCAAAATTGTCTGCTAATGACGTCTGACAAAGAAAGTTCATCAAGTAATCAATCGATTTAAGCCATTGTTGACTCAATTCTTTATCAACTAGAAGAAATCCTATTGTTTGCACTCTTGAATAACCTAAAATTTAATTTGCATTCAACAGACAAAGATGATAAGAAAATAAAGTTTGAAAAATATTTTTCAAAACCACCCACCGGTGGAAATTTAATAACTTCATGGGAATGCATAATAAATTAACTCATCATAATGAGCATACTCGATCCTATCCAGATATCTATCATTTCCCTAAATAAAATCTAATAACCCAACATTTCAGTTTGTGTAGTGTCTGCTAAACGAGCTCAACCATCATATCAGAGCATACTAAATTATCAAATCGAAAATGACGATATCATCAAGTCAAAGGAACCATGCAACAATTTGAATTCTCCATCTCCTAGATGACTTGTCGTAGAGAATTCAAATGCGGTCTAGTGCTATACACATCACAGTGCGTGCTCATGATCATACACCCCGAGAATCCTCATTCTCGGTGGTTGAGACCCACCACCACATCTCACATGTCGGTGTCATACATGATAACCTGTTATAACTAAGTTCTTTACTAGTTATAGGTTAAGGTTTAGATCACATCTCAAAGCAAGTGACACATCACAGTGAATGATCATGTTGGAATAGTAATAATATGCCCTCAAACATCTAATACAAATTATGTAATATTTGTGAAATATTAATAAATTTAATTGTTGCACATATGATTTGAGTATCATTTATATAGTTGTTATATATTCTTAGAAATTGTTTTGTTAAATCATGTACTATGATGCGTCACTTGCTTTAAGACGTGATCTAACTTATAGATTTCTTAAACTCGTGTTTAACCTATAATTAGTAAATGATAACTTAGTTATAACAAATTATTATGTACGACACCGACATGTGAGATGTGATGGTGGGTCTCAACCACTGGGAATGAAGATTCCCCGGGTGTATATCATGAGCACGCATTGTGATGTGTGTAGCACTAGACCACATTTGGATTCTCCAAGACAAGTCACCCAGAAGATGGAGAATTCAAATTGTTATATGGTCCTTTTGACTTGATGATATTATCATTTCTGATTTGATAATTTAGTATGATTTGATGGATGGCTGAGCTTGTTTAGCAAGCGCTACACAACCTGAAACGTTGGGTTAGTAGATATCATTTAGGAAAATGATGGATATCTAGATAGGATCCAGTATGCTCATTATGATGAGTTAATTTCACTGTTGTAAAAAGCGGCAAATAGCGCCGCTTTCGCGCCGCTAATCGCGGTCGCGGTGCTTCACCGCGCCGCTTAACGAGATCGCGTGGAGAATTAGCGGAGAAAACCGCGATGTGCTCGAATTGCGCGAAAAAGCGGTGTTTTAGCGGACAAAAGCGGTTAAAACCGCTAAAACCCGCTACAGTAAGCGGATACTTCACCGCAAACCCGACCCGAACTCATTCTTCAAAAGCCAATCTCTCCCAAATCCCGATTCTTTTGCCCTAGCCGCCGACTCTCTTTCTTGTCACTCCCGACGACTCCTTCCAGCACCGTCTCCGGTCAACGACGACGACTTCCGACGACTTCCGAC